TGGTATCCTGTCGCTCCTCCTTGGTATTATTCTTGGCTGCCGTACGGGTAAGGTCATGATGTAGCTGAAGTCGCCCAGCTCGAAGTCTGTCTGCGAAGAGTTGCCTTGCCGCTGACTTCATGAGACCATCCGCATATTGCCGCTCTGATGAGACCCCCTTCCATTGCGCCTGTGAAGCATCCTTCAGTTCTCGTAGTGCCATCATCTCGATGCCGGCGCGCTCGTCATGGGAGCTGGCGAAGCTATCCTTCGCATCGATCGCGAGCGCTGACTCGCCTGAGTAGCGCGTGCTCTCGTCAATGTCGACGTTCACGTTGTCGTGGATGAGGGCTGCCCACAATCGCTGCGCAAATTCTAATACGCCCATGCCCGCTGCCGCTGCTTGGGATTCTGAACGTAGCGATGACCTGGCTAGTCTCATCAACTTGAAAGACTTCCAGACAACAACGCAGAAATCTGAGTCCTCGCCGTCAAGCACTTTCGAGTCGCATGCCATGATCAAATACCCTCCTCGACTAGATCCGCCTCGTCGTACTCCCCAAGCTGCGACCGTCATCGCTACAAGCACGACGTCGCTGACCTTGCCAATCTTCTGCATCTTGAGACCGACGTCCGCGTTCTGCCCATAGCACATTTACCTCTCTTGCCGTCGCCACCGTCGCCGTTGGAAGCTGCTCTTGGCGAATGCTGACCGACGCCGGCGCACGTGGGCATGCTTGCGAACTTGGTCACTCTAGAGCTCCAATTAGTCCTCGAAGTTGGCGCAGCTCCTTTGGCGTGGGTAGTCGGTCGTTGTTGCCATCCCTCTGATCAATCGCGATCGTTTCGAAGACGGAGGCATAAGACTGCACCTTGATGTTGATATCAGTGCCGTTGGCGAGCTTGTTGCCCCACTGAATGATCCAGCGTAGGTCCGGTCCACACTGCTCCACTTTGTCCTCCTCTATCCACTTCCGAAACTTGAACTTGCTCTTGACTGCCTCGACGATGTTGCTGTAGTTGCTGCTGGGCTTGCGACCTCCTCCTCCGAGCACGTCGTCTACGTAGAATAGGATACACCCGTCACAGTTGTCGTCCTTCTCGTAGCTAACGAAGAGGCATGGGCCCAGGGGGTGCTGCTTGAGCCCGCTGGCCTTGAGGTCGTCAACTGCTCGTTGCCACCAACGTCGCGGTGCGTCTACTTGTCCGTGCTTAGGCTTGATCAGCTTCACGAGAGTGCCCGGTTCGATGCCCATGAGGTCTGCTGCGTCTCGTGGTACATTGGCGTAAAGCACTCGTTCTTGCGGCCGCCCCCGCAGAAATTTGGTTGCCACGCCCGCTTTCCACAATGTCCATCCGTTGTCTGCTGCCAGTAAATTGGCCAACTGACGTCCCAATCGGGATGCTATAGGTGATGCCGTCGGTACCTTGCCGTCGAGTGCGTCTGTGTCGTTGAAGCCTTGTAGTGCTAGACGAGCCTTGGCCCTCGGCGCGCCGTCATCGTTCTTGGCCCATTCCAATACCCCCTTGGCCTTCAGGATGCGCCCGGGGTCTTCGTCTCCAGTTGGCTTATGAAACTCCCGAACTTCATGTCCCAAACACTCCTCTGGCTCCTTCCGCTTGCCATCCATGGATGCTGCTCGATCGGGTGGTGTCATGGTCCGGGTACTGATCCCAGCGTAAATGTCATTGCGATTCGCTTCGTTGCCGTCGAACTCCCATCCGAATGGTAGGTCCTTGTCCTCTAGCACGAGCTGCATGGCTGCGACCTCGTCGTCCGCGCTGTCGTCTCCCACTGGTTGAGACTCTGCCGCTGGCACATAACGGCGGCCCTCGGTATACCCCTCTAGGCCGGGAGAAGATGGAAGCAGCTGCTGCGCCCACTCGCCTGCGACTCTCCATTCACTCCCAACTCACCGTAGCAGATGTTGGAGGTGGCGTTAGTGAACTCGACGATGCTGCCGCCGCTGGCCCCAACATAGCTGGTGCTGGCATTGGTGGTAGCAGCTGAACTGGAGGCGGTGGTACCTGCGTTTGCGTGGTTGTCGGAGTCGTTGACTGCACTGGTGATCCCATAGGCTGAGGTGGGGGTGTCGGTTCTTGATATGGTTGTCGTTCGCTCGGCTGTCTTTCTTGTTGAGGTGCGCCTGGGACGTCCGCGCGCTCGTCCTCTGCGGCGCTGGGCGCGCCTGGGCTGGGGGGGGGCGGTGATGCCGTCTCCGTCGTTGCCGAAGCTGCTGCTCCAAGAATCGGTGTTCCCCTCTGTCGCTTTGTGGTGATTCGTCTCCTGGCCCATCGTCGTCGCTGATGTCCATGTCCGAGTCGCCTGGCGCGTCGAACGGCTGCTGCTGTGAACTGACATCGCGGAACTGCGCAAGTCCGGTCCTTCTCGCGCTGCGAAGCGCCCCCTTGGCCTGCGCGAGGTTCTCCGGGATAACGCATTCTTGATCGCTAACATCTGGTCGAACGTGTTCCGGGTCGCAGCGCAGTGGGTTCGCGACGCGCACGATCCAGTAGATCCTCGGTCCGCTCTCGCCCTGCCAAATCTCCACGAAGCCCATGATTGCGGCCCCCATCCACTTCTTCTTGATGAGATTGTTGGTCTTGCCCCCCCCCCCCCCCAGTAGTAGCGCCGCTGGCCGATCGCAAGATCTTGATTGAGGGCAACGCGACGTCGCACAAGTGATCGTCGTAGTTTGGCCGAGGCGTGCGCCTTCATAAACGCTGACGCCGCCATTGACCTTCGCTCAAGTACAAGATTGACGCCCGCGCCCCCCTTCATCTGGCACAGGGTCGCCGGCGAGAACTTGTCGCTGGAGTTGGTCCTGGTAGAAGTGTAGCCGGATCCATTCCCAACGCCCACTGGCATGGCAAATAGCCCCTTGTGAAAGCCATCCGATTGACCGTGATCAAATCCACCGCGATTGCCGCCCGGGCGCAACGATCGATATCACCTGCACAATAAAGCTCCACTGCCTCTCGAACAACTTGACGCCGATGTTCCACCACTCCCAAATTTAAATACGCCTCGCCGGCTACAATAACGATCGACATGCTA